GGATATTTCTTATTTGAATGGAGGGCCCCACGCTCTTGTCGGGGACTCCATCTGTTATCCTGCTCAGACACACTCGATCATTTGGGGGCTCACTACATTGTGTCTTGACACTTTCTATTTGAATGAAGGGCCCTACGCACTTGTTGGGGGCCACCTGTTCACCTCCTCGGGCACACTAGATTGTTCGAGGGCCCTGCACATTGGGTCCTGGTATTTGAACGTAGGGCCCCACGCCTCTGTCAGGAGTCATCTGATAGCCTCCTTGGATACACCCGATCTTCCGGGGAGTTTTTTATTTGAATGGAGGGCTCCACGCTCTTGTCGGGGCCCCTTTTGATAACCTGCCCTGGCACACCTGATCGTTCGGGGGTCATCTACATTCGGTCTTGAGTACAACTCATTTGAGTGTATGGTTCCACGCTCTTGTCGGAGGCCTATCTGTCAGCCTGCTCGCGTGCACTGGATCCTTTGGGGCCCCCTCATTGTGTCGTGGATATTTATTATTTGAATTGAACGTCCTACGTTCTTGTCAGGGGCCCGTCTGTGCACCTGCTCGGGCACACTTAATCATTCCTGGACCCTCCATGTTGTGTCTTGGGTACTTCTGATTTAAATGGATAGCCCTATGTGATTGTTAGGGCACCATCTATCAGACTGCTCGGTCCAATGGTGGACCCGGAAGAGGGGTGGGGGGGGGGGGGGGGTACCGAACAGTGCTCGCCCCTTGTGCCTCTTGGGGACCCATAGCCTCTGAAGGAGCCCATGACCAGGCAAACGGACGCGGATTTCAAACACAAAACACAACAAAATTGGACGTCTTTTGGCCTCCAGACGACCAAGAACAGTCACAAGCGAAAGTGAAGCCCTTGGGCAGACAACCCCTTACGCTGTCCAGATGCGTTACGCTGTTGCCAGGGCCATATAGGTCTACTTGCTGGGTCATTCCGATCACTAAGAAGCCTTCCACGTTGCACAGAGCATTTATTCACGCACACCAGTCTCGGGTGTTAAGTGCCCACTGGCCCCTTTGCTCAAAGGGTCCCATGCTCTTGCTGGGGTCCTATATGTCAGCCTGCCGAGGCGCCCCAGATCGTTCAGGAGCCTATAACGTTGGTCTTGCGTTCTTCTCGCTGGCTTTGCGAACCCCATACTAGTTGACGGACGCCTCTTTGTTGGGCCTGCTGGCACCCATGATCGCTCAGGATCCCTCGTTGTTGGTCTTCATGCCTTGGCCTTAGAGCGGCAGTCATATATGCACCGATAAATTTATACGCACAATTGTCGAACATAATTTTACGCACCGTCGACATCGTATGTGATATTTTGGTTGGTTAGTGGATTTGTGACACGCGTTATACTTGTGCATCACATTCTTACCCGTTTTATGAACTCCATTTTAATACTACAATATTTTGTACTCATTCAAAACAATCAAAGCAAAAACTCTACGTTTGTCATCAGCTATCAGCTGATCACATCGACCAGCCGGTTAGCTGTAAGCATGCTTGAAATCAAACTTGTACTTGACTTTAATGGTTGCTCATTTTTACATGCGTAGCACGCCTAGTTTTCTATGGATGCGCACAGTAGGACAGGTCTCCAAATAAGAAACAACATTCTGACATCCTGAGAGTCTTAACATTTGATGGCCGGATTTCAAGATTTGGGGGGGGGGGCCTAAACCCCATGAGGCCCCGCAATTTTGGGTGCCCCCCTTGACGAAATCCTGAATCCGCCCCTGAGTGTACCTTTACGCAAATACCTGCTGCTCAAACAAATGCGCATATATCAGAGGAAGCATCCGAACAGCCCGCTAGATCGTGGAAAATGATATATATATATATATATATATATATATATATATATATACAGTAAGAAAACCACAGTGGACGACAGCCCTCTCCGGGCACACGCCGCACACTTAGTCGTATCTGCTTGGCTAAGTCTGACTCTTTCCAGGGTCACGACTTCAATGCATTTTACATGCCACTGGCTCAGGAAAAAAAAATAAAACAATTCTACGCGCAGAACAGCATCATTTATTGAACGCACGTTTTCAGCTGAATAGTGACATGGATGAAAATAATCAGTCGGTACAATACAGCCAGAGACAATGTGGATTACTTGGGAACCACCGCACCAGTGCGTCTCAGCCCTAAAGCCGCCTAACACGCGCTCGGGTGGGGATCAAATTGACCCCCGAAGGTTTTTCCGAAATGGTTTCCGAACAGCGCGGCGTAGCCGTTAACAATTCTCCGTTTTCTGCGGCATCTAACTGTTGCCTAGTGTCGCTGCAACCCATGGTCGCCAGAATTTGGTCGCTTTCAGTCCGTGTCGTGCAGCATTTCTTAATTCAAATGTCTTGCGTTTCCATGTAAAGTTATTGTCCTCAAATTATTGTCATGCAGAAAATCAAGCCTAATTAAGCAAATCATCTCCAAACACCATAATAGGCTTAAGAGGACAGCACGACAGAGATTGCACCTCTCATTACTGACGACTGTGTGAAGCTGCAATCGGTGTTTTCAAAGATGCTAACTTGTACAGAGCCAGTAGTACAATAAGTCCAGGGAGAGCCGACAGGCCACTCTGGGTTGGGCTTGTTCCGGCCAATCCACTCGAGCTAACAACTTAAACATAGTTCAAGAAGACGCACTCGACTTATGACCTAGTGCAGAGAGGTGCTATGGATAGAACCTATGCTGGTCTACACGCTGTTATTTGAAATGCGCTTAAAGTTAAGTGTGCATTCTTCGTCACACTTCATGTTGAATGAAGCTAGGTCAATTCCAGCTGACCGTTGACACAGCGCCCGACACAGGCAGGCTCCGCTCACGAACAGCACGAACTGGAGTAGTGCACGGACTGACAACTGGTCAATTGCTGGTCAGAACAAAACAGCAACTCATCGAGAGAAAACGCTATTTATTGTCATAAATTCATTATAACATGGTTGAAACATCGCAGTAGGGAAAACGCTCAACATCTATATTACAAAAGGCGTGGGATATATATGTAGTACATCATAGGCGTGCAAAGCTGTGATTAGGAACCCAAGCGCGAGCACTCCGCCAGTGACACGGCGATCTCGCACACTACGACACCGGTGGTGCCCGTGGTCAACAACAACGCCGTCCGATGGACATGCTAGTTAAGGGGATGTCACCAACGACAAGTTCATCCTATGCCATGTTTTCATTGAGTCTTCGTGTTATCGCCGATGTCAATAACAAGCAGATGCGACCTCTATATCCTGGGTGCCGTCCGTGGCAGTCGAAAGTCCTATGCAACGTCCTTGGCGGCCTGCAGTAGCCGCGCCATCCTTGTAAGGCCGCGCGATTTCCTTATCTGCAGTTCTGCTACATCTGCGGCTGTATGCTGACTGAAACTGCGATGCTGAGAGTTCCTCAAAAATAAATCGGTCCAAAAATATATCTGACGACGTGTTGCTCCATCGAATCGGTATCCTGTGGCAGGAAAAATAGTATCCACGAAATATGGACACCTTTTTTTGAAAGGCCGAGTTGCGTACCGTGAAGGTCAATGCTATTGTCTATTTCGCCTAATAACAGCAAATTACAGCATGTAAGGACATTGGCGTTTCATGAAGACGCATTTCCTTGCATAGCCTTGAATCAGATTTCAGAGCACTGTTGCAGAGAAATATTATCAACGTGCATTTGTGCAGTCTAGTACAGGCGATAAAATGACCTAGACTATGTCCAAAAAGTGTAAAATATTCAAGTGTCTAACAAAGTCTATGCTTACTCTTGTCATTCAAAGTCAGGGAGCTATCGCCTCATATCCTACGCTGCACTTGCCAGGCAATCAGTAAAGAGCATCGCTTGGCGGGATTTCCACATGACCTCGCAGGAGTTCATCAATTGTCTGATCTTCAAGCATTTGCTCCAGTCCAAGAGCTGGGCTCTATTCGAAGAAGTTGTGCTGGCTCTCGCGGTCATAACGAAGTCGAGCCGCTACGTTTCCATCCTGACCATTTTTAAAAGAGTTTGAGTTCGTGCATACGCCCCCTATGGGCCTAAATTGGCGGCGGCGGGGGAGCGCCAGAAGGGGCAGAGCGGGTCCTGAGCGGCCGAGTGCGCGCGTGCGGAGTACCCGCAGCTGCGGAGTGAGGCTCTGCACGCGAACGTAGCGCCGGGCGACGAACGAGCCGGGTTCAGCGGGTCGCGTGTCGCATACACGAGAGGTGCAGACGAGGCAGGTGCAGGGCGACACCCATTCGTCCCTCTCTGCCGCAGGCATCAGGCCCCGGACATCCACAGGCTGGCGTACATACATCGCGCGCAGGTGTCCTGCAGATCGAAGGGCCGGACCGCCGGCGGTCAGCGCCGCCGCAGGCCTTTTGATTAGCGCTTACGTCCCTCCCAGGGCGTGCTTCACAGGGAGGTCGGCCCGTCCGGCAGCCGGCCGGACCAGCAGGGCAGGTACAACAGCCAATGGAAAGTTGAGCAATCATACGAACGGCCCTCAGCGGGTGACCTCTCACGCAGCCGGTGTGCGGGGTCAGGTCAGGTCAGGTCGCGCACGCGCCGGGCGCCACGGGGCTGGCACTGGAACTGCGGCGACCCACGCAAGGGGTGGCGTTAGCCTGACCCCTGGACAGCTCCAGTCTCGACCCTACGCGCGCCGGACGCCACGGGGACTGCGGCGACCCACGCGAGGGGTGGCGTCCGCCTGGCCCCTGGACAGCTCCAGTCTCGACCCCACGCGCGCCCGACGCCACGGGGACCGCGGAGACCCACGCGAGGGGTGGCGTCCACCTGGCCCCTGGACAGCTCCAGTCTCGACCCCACGCGCGCCCGGCGCCACGGGGACTGCGGCGACCCACGCGAGGAGTGGTGTCAGCCTGGCCCCTGGACAGCTCCAGTCTCGACCCCACGCGCGCCGCCCCGCTTACAGCCAACTCAGCGTGGCGGTGCGTGAGGTCAGCCCGGCCAGTCACACGTGGCAGAAGTGGCGGGTGGGGGGGGGGGGGGGGGAGGGGCGATGGCCACCGCCAGCCGTCAGCGGCATGCCCGCTGGTCAGGAGGCCGAGGGGACGATCAGACACGGCCACCCAGTCATATCACAACCCGGACAGTAGACGCGACGGATCTGGAGCCGCCTTCGGCCGGCGCCGCGCCGCCAACAGGTGGCAGCGCACTCGGGGCTCTCGGACCGGGCACGCCCGCCCACGCGACGCCTGTGGACCGACTGCCAGCAGCGTCCGACGGAACATATGTCGAAAGCTACTTGGTCAAGTAAGTGCGACAGGTTCTGCCGGGACCAGCGGAAGGACCGGTGGTTGCCGATGTGGATGCAAAATGGTTACAAGTGAAACGGCGCCGGGTAAAATAGGAGTACACTTCATTCACACACTTCTTAGAACAACAGCGCCATAACAGCCGCAACCGCCCATGACATTCTGATACCATGGATAATTCCAAAACTATGGATCCCAACACGACGATTTCGACTTAAAACGCTAATCTCAGTATTCGCCAAGCGACGAATGCGCGAATGGACGTCAGGGCCACGGGTAGATGTAACTGCCAGAACACGGTGAAGCATAGCATGCCTCGACAATAGCGCGGAACGAATGCCAAACGGAAGAATGACAAAGAGAGATGTGGCAAGACGAGTGAGTATCAAAGTTGTCGGGACACGGAAGAGCAAGAATGCATCATTCCTCGCAGAGCAGGTGCCACCGGCATATTTGTACACCACGTGCGTCATGCGCGTCCGACCAATGAGAGCGTTCCTCATTTCCCGAGCTGTTGTGCCCGAGGCCGAACCAGCCAATCAGGTCTCGTTTCGTCATGTTTCTCTTGCTGTAGATGCTGACCATGAGGGTGACGTCACAGAGTTGAAAGAGCGGGATCTGCGGACAGGAGAAGTGAGTTGTAGAGCCGAATGAGCAGGTTCGGCTAAGCTGCACGCTACATGGTCAAATATGTGCTTGAAGGACAGGGCATGCCATGGAAGCTCCACAATATTTTTGACTTCGACATTTCCCTTACTAGTGACATGCTCATAGGAAGAGCATTGCCGTGTTGGTGCCCTTCACCTTTATCTTCTATAATACGTCCATCTCGGTGACTCGGTTGGAGCTCCTGCTTTACATCCGACCCTCTCATCCTCGTTATTGGTTAATCTGGCATCCTCGCGACGCCTCGCTCGTCCGGGGCAGGGTGCATGCGTCAGCTACAGATGGGCCGAGAGACCCCCTGGGGAGGGGTACCCGGACCGGGCGTCCCTGCGCCGACTAAGGCTTGGCGTCTGTCCCCCCCCCCCCCCCCCCCCAGCCGCATGTAGACCTGTCCCAGCGTTATCCGCCCTCCTTCATCCCATAGCCCTAAAGAGATCACTTCTGGTCGAAAGGGCTCTGAGCCAAACAGCCCAACTACAATGGCCTGCCTTCCGATCCTCTCTCCTATGCCGGGGTGGGTTCGAGTCCCTTTAGTTGCTCGCTATTTGCCCTTGTTAGGTATGGCCTGCGGTTAGTGACAGCGGCGGTGCTCAAGGTCAGTTGACGTTAGAAGGCAGGACAAACCGTGCCGAGCATTGCGGTACGTTAAGCTTTCGTCACCAAATTCTGCCGTTGGCTTGGAATTGCGCGATCGGATGGTAGGGGTCAGGGCTCACGTAATAAACAATGCTCAGCGTAAGCTCAGATTCCACAAATCCGTCCATTTAAGAGGCTGAGATTCAATCTTTAGAAAATGTTTTGGACTACCCCATTTCCAAACTGAAGCACAATCCAGCTTCCCGTCTTCCATAAATACACCATATCACATGCTGCGTCGCAACTTTGCAGAATTACTGCAACATGGAGAAAATGCTCGTGTCATAAGGACCCATACAAAATGAGTCAAGAATACATATAATTTTGTTTTGATATCATGCTTTGAAATATATCTTATTATTGGCGCAATTTCTTCAATTGGTGTTGTGATTATCCCTTTCAGATAAGATGCGAGACTTGAGCTGCACTATGGAGGCACCAGCGCCGACCACAAAGATGACAGGTTCTGAAAACGGCCGGGCATTCCGTCGGTAATTTAGAACCTTTTAACATAATTATTTTCACATATTGACATAAACCTAGTGCTTGCCACTGAAGTTATTAGAGGAAGGTGGTGGGATCCCGAAATGCTAAGCAAACAACAACACCCTGGCGTCATTGCGTTGCCAAATACAACGAAACAGCATGTCACGTAGCTGAGCACGATCAACAAAAACCAATCGAACCCCCGAACCATGCGTAGATAAGATCTCATACGATAGATAGATATCAGATCTCAGATAGATACGATAGATCTCATCTCAGCGTGTAGCAAAACAACCAGCAAACGCCAGTCCCCGCCGTGCGGTCGCACACCTTTTAAAAAGACAACGTTAAAGTGCAGGTTGTCCATCTCGCGCCAAAAGCTCATGGTTTCCTTTCGGGACAAATAGGATTCGTCCGCACTGCTGGGACCCAGTTTGCTTCGCACAATGGTCGGAAGGGATTGCCCTCTATGGTGCCGCGAAGAGCGTAACGACTAGACCACATGCTGGCCGAGATTGCCCAGGCACCGATCCAGCCAATGTGTGAAAGGATCGAGCACATGCGCTGCGTATCGGCGACGTGGCCTGGCACTGGCCGAGCAACAGTGACTGGCCATTTGAGATGCGCCGTGGTGGCTTGCCTCACTATGCCGTCACTGTCACTGACGCTATCACTGAACGGCACGGACACTGACCGGTGCAACACCCACCAGCGGCCGGCTACCCCATGCGGCTCCACCAGCACCTGTCGACCAGCGCCCTGGTCCGTAGCCCAGCGCTCGACCAATGGCCGTTCGATCAGGGACCCCCATTGCGATTCCTGGAGCTGGCGCCCGCGTCTGCCGGCCTAACTCAGTCGTCGATACGCTTAATGTTTCAGGTGGCCGGGTCGATCTCGGCGCCGGCAAACGTGGCGGCCCGGCCGGGCTTGGAGCCCCGCGCTTCGCCGAGCGGCTCTCTGCCAGCCAGTCAGGGAGAGCACACACCGCGCGGTGGGGACACGCGGGGAGAGAGGGCCTTCCCGTGTGAACCCCCGCGCAGCTGGAGCAGATCCGCAGCCGTCCGCACGCTGGCAGCGCCAGCCGGCGCAGAGTCAAGCTGATTAGAGCGGCGATGGGAGAGAAAAACGTACAACCTCAGTGGCACTAAAGGTTGCAGAGTCTGATTTTTGCCGGCTGGCCGGCAGCCTGTGGGCCTGCACTCGCAGTCATCGACCTCTGTTGCTAGCACACCGAAACCCCTGTCCGCTGCGTCACAGCCGTGACCCGCTCGGGCGGGATGGCACCGTGCCCGCCCCCCGCCGGCGGCGGCGGTGGTGGCGGCGCTGGCGGTGGGGGGAGGGGGGAGGGGGGAGCCCTCACCTGGAACATGAAGGTCTCCTTGTAGAGCGGGTTCGGCTGGCCCCGCCGGACTGAAGTCCTGCTGCGTGCCAGCTCGCGGCCGCTGCTGCTCAGCAGGTGCAGCCGCACGTACGTGTCGGGCGCTCGGCTGCCCGACGTGGCTCTGTCGGCGAACAGGAGGGTGTCGGCGCCGCGCGGCCCATCAGGCGGCAGACCACAGGCCCGCAGGCGGCACTAGACTGTGTTCTGTCGTCACCAGACCCCTTGATCAGCTCTTTGCCCTCCCGTGAGGAAAGCAGTGCTCGGTCCGACGCGTGGCCTCGCCGGGGATGGGGCCGGCTGTCAGACGAGCACGCGACGCTCTTCGGGAACGAGTCGCCGGTCTGGTGCGCAGGCTCGCTGCGTCTCGGCGGTCGATGGCCCTCCAGTCTGCTGATGCGCGCCAGAGCACCACTCGAACGACGCCGCCGCCGTCCGACAGCGTTGCCCCGACACTGCTCGTAAATAGAACGGCTGCACGGGAGCGCAGCTCTAAAGCGTTTTGGTAGGTCGTAAGCCACGGACTTTTCTCATAACCTATGACGTAAATTCGATCGGATAAAATGCATGTGTGGGGGGAGGGCTTCACAACAGCTCCGCGAAACATGTTCTTGCCGAGCTCATACAAATAGATGGGGTAGCACGATACACGGAATCGATTATGTACGTTACAGATGCATGTACGTGCAATTTAGAGAAAGAAAACGCTTAGCTGATTTCAAACGAGGCTCGGGCCAATTTACGCCCTGGTGAAACTCTGATGTAGCTTTACAGAAGCGTCCAGGCATGGTAGAAATGTGTTCCCCATGACGAGGGCGGCTTTTGTGGCATGTCATAAGACATTGCTGCTATATCACTCCGGAAGCGCATCACGGCGATTTCACCTGCCTGACAGCTGTCATGACACTCTCACGCGGGCCCCACGCGTCGCCGGTTCCGGCGCCGGGTCGGGCTGGTTCTCACCGGAAGTGCGAGCCCTTGATGACCTCGACCGCCAGCCGACCGGTGGTGGCGTTGTACTGCAGGCCCAGCAGCAGCTCCGGCACGCCGCCGTGGTGGATACTCTGCGTGCTGCTGGTGCTGTCGCTCCGGCACAGGGAGGTCGTATCGCCGGTGGTGCCACCTGCCGTTAGCTGCCGGAAACACACACCGGCCGGTGACGGACGCGCCGTGTGCGCGAACCACGTGCGCGAGGCGTCTGCGCAGTGGTGCGATCAGCCGGAGGAAACGCAAGCGCACACGCAGGGATGCAAAGGAAAAGCCATTGATCAATTTTTTACGGGTTCTTCATCGTTTCGCGCCCTTTTTCAGAGGATACCCGTGGCCAAGCCGCGGCCAATAGTTGTGTGCTCGACGGATCCTGCGCATGAATCTGGACCACCTTGGCTCGTCCGATCACCTCAAGAGCCCACCGCTTCTGTCAATGTTCCCAAATCATCTCCGTTCGAAAACTTCGGCTGCAAATGCCACTTAAAAGTTTCGAGTGTCTCCCTCCATCTTGGATCGTTATGAAATATATAAACTTGGCTTAAAAAAACGGAACACGACGCACGCCGTTTTTGTGGACTGCAAGCGACCGCATCGGCCAACTTAGCGATCAGGGGTCATGGCACTACTGGGATTTGAACCTGGGCCCCCCTCCCCATGTGGGAATCTAAGGTGGTAGCCACCCGGCCACTACACCCCATAAATTTGACCTCGTTGACTTTGACCTTGAGGCAGGCCGATGAATATGTCAAGTCTGAATCAGCAACGCTGTCAAACCTTCAGCCTCTGCATTTTATTCGGTCTGTTGGTTCATGTTTCCCCAGCAAAGGACCTTCCGGGGTAGAAGGACGGCTAGTTCACCCCTGCCAAACTATGTACAAGTCACCCTCCCGCCAAACAGCACTCAAAAGGAGATCGTCCTGGGCGCCCTCCATACCATAATTTGGCTCCCCGGGATAAGCCATCATTGGGATGGCTCTCACTTTCCATCAAGCTTTACTGTGCTCACTGCAATAACTTCTCACGCTGGATAATAACTCATGTGCTTATGGCTCGCTGTCCCTGTCTCTGCATCTGATCTCGCTGGGCACATAGTCTGGTGCTTTCCGGTTCGCGATATCTCATCGGCGTCGATGATCTGCCACGTCTGGTCACGAAGAAGTCAATAGCTTGCCGTACCAAATGTTGTATCCGTGGACAGTTTGGTTCCCACCATCGTATTGAAAGATGTGCCATGTGCGGTTCATACGCTTACACATGTGCGTCACACCGGCCCCCCTAACGCTTTCACACGAGCTCGCAGTCTGACGTCTGCACTGCATGCATAGCCTCCAGTGCCTCTAAGTGTACAGAGACCGCGGCATCCATTTTCATATTCTTGGTGGAAGAAAATGTGTGAACAAGAAGGAGCTTTTCTGTTAAGGCTGTCATTCAGAGCAGCGGTTTTTCCCCCCGAAGCATGAACTTTTGTGACAATTAATCCGCTTGTTGCTGACGTTGACCTGCTCGGCTGTTTTTCTTTCCTTCTCTTCCTCCGACTCCTCTCTCCCCCTCTCTCCATGCAGTACAGACTGTATCCCGTCTGCCACCGGCCTCTCCTTGTCCGTCGCGTTTGCTCTCGCGCTCTCTCCGTCAGAAGCACACTTCTGTCGTATGTGCGGACGGTGCGTGCCGCCAGACCCGTGCCGGCCCATTGATTTGACTGCACTGGCCACGGGAAGTCGGCCACCGGGCGAGCGAGTTAATCGATAGTGTGCGCAGTTGCCGCCGGCGCCGACGGAAATCCGCCACCGCCGGCCTGTACCGCACTGTCCGAACCACCACACCACCAGTGCAGCCGACCGCCGGTGCTGATGATACGCCGCCTCTACGACGCACTCAGCTGCTGAGGCTCGATGATGTTGCCTGCCTTTCATTCCGGCAGGAACGGCGGGCATCGTGGGGAATCAAACCTCGTACCTCCAGTGTCCCGAATACCCATATCACCGAGCTGCCAGCCCTCTACCGGGCCAGTTGAGTGCTGAGCCGCCAGACCACCAGACCATCGGACCACCGGACCACCGGACCAGCAGCGCTCCGGGACAGTTGGCCGCCGGACCGCGACCACAACCCGGTTGGCTGCCGGACCTTTGGCCGAAGCGCTGCGCCACCAACCCGGCGGTCACCCAGAGCTCCGGCGGCCGCCCAGAGCTGGGCAGGACCAGACCAGCCGGCTGCCGGACCACTGGACACTCAGAACACACGCCTGCCACCGCCTGGGGTGCACTGGCAGCAGCTCAGGCCTCTGAGCCACCGCTCACTGGTCCGTCTGGCAGCTCAGGCCTCTGAGCCACCGCTCACTGGTCCGTCTGGCAGCTCTGGCTTCTGAGCCACCGGTCACTGGTCCGTCTGGCAGCTCTGGCTTCTGAGCCACCGCTCACTGGTCCGTCTGGCAGCTCTGGCTTCTGAGCCATCGCCCACTGGTCTCTCTGGCAGCTCTGACTTCTGAGCCATCGCCCTCTGGTCCGTCTGGCAGCTCTGGCCTCTGAGCCACCGCTCACTGGTCCGTCTGGCAGCTCTGGCTTCAGAGCCACCGCTCACTGGTCCGTCTGGCAGCTCTGGCTTCTGAGCCACCGCTCACTGGTCCGTCTGGCAGCTCTGGCTTCTGAGCCACCGCTCACTGGTCCGTCTGGCAGCTCAGGCCTCTGAGCCACCGCTCACTGGTCCGTCTGGCAGCTCTGGCTTCTGAGCCACCGCTCACTGGTCCGTCTGGCAGCTCTGGCTTCTGAGCCACCGCTCACTGGTCCGTCTGGCAGCTCTGGCTTCTAAGCCATCGCCCACTGGTCTCTCTGGCAGCTCTGGCTTCTGAGCCATCGCCCTCTGGTCCGTCTGGCAGCTCTGCCTTCTGAGCCATCGCTCTTTGGTTCGTCTGGCAGTTCGGGCTCGGAGAGATTTACGCCATGGCCATAACCGAAAGTTCAGATGAGTTTAGCGGAGAGTGCAGCTCCCAAAACGATGGCTAATAAAACAACTCTGCTCCCGGAATACCATCACGTGACGCACCCATCACATACGCAACTTAGCTTTGCACAATTGATAAAAGCCGGACGATCACTGCTCAATGCCATTATATGTATGTATTATATGTATATGTATACATTATATCAATGCGTATGCCATTACGCACGTCTATCTTCATTCAGAACATTTAAATTACGACAGCTATATCTGATTAAATCTTAACTGCACCAAACAAGGTTAAAACTCTAAAGTTGCGTTTGTAAATACATCAAAAATGCAGACATCTTAGCCGTTATCATCTGACACGAGGGCATGGTGGCAGGCCTTCCCCCGTTTCCATCAGAGCAGCAGGACATCAGGAGTGCTTTGTCCGCTTACCGTCATATTGGCCCTGGGCTGGAGCGTGATCCACATAGGCGTCTGCTGTTCCACGTTGGCGCCGCTGAAGGGCAGCACTGCCTCGCCAATCATCCGCTCCCGACGCAGCCGCTCACAGCCGTACAGGCGCAGCCGCACCCCCATCGACGGCAGGTCATCTGAGGTCAGGTCAGGTCAGGTCAGGTCGGGTCAGGTCAGCTCTGCTGCGCTTGGCCGTACGGAAGCCGTGATTGACAAGTCATTTGAGGTCAGGTCAATTCAGGTCAGGTCAGGCGCTCGCAGCCATACCCCTGACCGGGCTGTGGTTATCTGGAGAAGTCACAGAATGCCAGGTCAGTAGCGCTCAACCGTGCAGGTGTAGTCGCACCCCACCGACAGCAGGTCATCTGAGGTCAGGTCAGGTCAGCAGCGCTCAGCCGTACGGAACGCAGCCGTGCTCCGACCGACGGTAGGTCATCTGAGCCGTCACGTATGAACAAAACTGATGTGTACGGCTGAACCGGTACAACTGCGAATAATCCATGAAGCCTGGATACTGAAGTAGTAACGAAAATTGAGCGTAGTGAGGAGCAGACATTAAACATTGCGGTAGTTCTGTAATAAAGACTTCTTGTGTGTGCCCTTTGAGCTCCAGTGTATGCGTAGGCTGTTCGTTTCTGTGAACTAAGACCACTGGGAGCCCTCTGACCTTCTCTATAGTGCTATATTTTCTGGAGCCTCACTGGCTATCTTCCAGCGCAAGACACCTCAGGTCTACGTAACCTACCCACATCACCTGGGATGGCTTTTGAACTTTCCTAAGATTTTTCTCGATTCCAGGGCCGCTTGAATCTTGTCAATCTCTAAGCCGAGACAACTCAGTCAGTCACGCACTCCCTGGTCTCCGCGACGCCCCTGACGGTAGTCGTGCTCAACATCGCAAATCAGTCAACAGGTGACGAGCTCCGCGGCCTGGGGAATAACCTATCAACAATCTGATCGTACCTGACCTTCATTTGTCGATATTATGTGCTGTATATATTGTGGGCGACTCCCTGTATCCCGATGTGCCACCTCTCACAAATCAGAAATCCACTAACTGTCTGGCCATGCAGATGAATACGTAAGAGTACCTATTTTGCTGTATTTTGGGAGGCCATGCATGGGTTTTCGTCAGGTCATTTGGGCGGTCGTTAAACTTTCCATTACCATTGCGAAAATAAGGTCAGTATATCTTCGATTTGGAAGCTTATGCACACACACGCACACACACACACACACACACACACACACACACACACACACACACACACACACACACACACACACACACACACACACACACACACACACACACACACACACACACACACACACACACACACACACACACACACACACACACACACACACACACACACACACACACACACACACACACACACACACACACACACACACACACACACACACACACACACACACACACACACACACACACACACACACACACACACACACACACACACACACACACACACACACACACACACACACACACACACACACACACACACACACACACACACACACACACACACACACACACACACACACACACACATACACACAGACATACACGCACACACACACACACACACACACATCTCTCTCTCTCTCTCTCTCTCTCTCTCTCTCTCTCTCTCTCTCTCTCTCTCTCTCTCTCTCTCTCTCTCTCTCTCTATATATATACATATATGTATGCATATACATATATTCGAGTAAGCTTGCAGAGCTTCTCAACCCCCTAAAACACATGGTCTGCACAAATACAACTTGAGGCACCAGGCTTTGATACAAGAAAAGCAAATGAGCATGTCTCGTGGTCTTTGCTGTATATACCTACAAGCCTGGCCACGGCTGATCTGCCAAAATTGATCTTTGACAAGACTGGAGGGGGGGGGGGGGGGGGGGAGCGACCCGACCTCTCACTGACATTCCGCGTTCACGTCGCTAGGGAGCCGGCCGCGCACGCAAGCTCACCCAGAGATAAGTGTCACGGTGACATTCCCAACATTGGGCCGGCGAACGCGGACAAGGTACCCACGAAACCCTGCGGGTACCTAGACAATATTTGTAGACGGAAAGTGGCAAGAGTCAGACGTCCAGCGAGTTGAGAAAGCCGGGGCTCCAGCTTGTCTACAGCTTGTCGTGGAAAGCTCCAGGTGCTGCCTGTGGCTTTGTACCAAGCACTGCTTTCCGATGTAAACGCTCCTGAATAGAACCTGATGCAGTTATTTCTCTGAATAACACATCGGGAGCAAAGTGGCAGGCGGAGGATTCCTGGTCATCTGAAGGCTTATTGTGCTGCCACCTGTCGGGGTCTTCATCTTCTCTGGGCCTTAATAGGCTCACGGAGCGCAGCGGTTTCCTGGAGGCTATCTACAGACAGCTCCGCGGACCTCTCACCGTTCACCGATCCCTTGCTGTTCAAGGCCACATGAGGATGTTGAGAATAACTTTGACTTGTCCAGACATTCCCCAAGAGAGCCCAGAGTCCTCTTACATTTAGGTTTGTCCCTTGTTGGTCTCCAGAATGTCTAGCTACCTGGATGACGTCCTAACACCCCGTGGGCTTATTGGCTGCCTCCAATGCCTGCCTCCTGTGCGCACGGATCGTCGCGGACTCCGAGGACCCCAGCCCACGGATCGTCACGGACTCCGAGGACCTCAGCCCACGGATCGTCGCGGACTCCGAGGACCCCAGCCCACGGATCGTCGCGGACTCCGAGGACCCCAGCCCACGGATCGTCACGGACTCCGAGGACCCCAGCCCACGGATCGTCGCGGACTCCGAGGACCCCAGCCCACGGATCGTCGCGGACTCCGAAGACCCCAGCCCACAGATCGTCGCGGACTCCGAGGACCCCAGCCCACGGATCGTCGCGGACTCCGAGGACTCCAGTCCACGGTTCCTCTCTGACCCCGAGGATCCTCTTAGGAGTACCTCTCTAGGAGTCTCTCGAGGATCCTCTTAGTAGTCGTGCTGGCCTCAATGCTCGTCGGCAAGCCTGACCTATTTGCAAGATCATTTGCAAGAGATCACCATTGGCCTGCATTGCGTCCGTGGCATGCAGATGCATCTGGTGCATGCTGTGTGGGTTTGGTAAGCGGTCCCAGGTCACCGTGACGTCTCGCTCCGATTTCCGTCCGTGCGAAAGTGTACCCCACAGTATGCAAGACGCATTGATCAAACACAGTTTGCCGTGTCTTGTAAGGACGATGTTTCAGTTTGGAGCGGCGCTGCCAGGAAAATTCGATTGCATCTAGAAAGCAATCGAGTCCCTTGCGATCAGTCCCTGAGAGTAGCGTGCGAGGCCTGGGTCAGGGTGGGTCGGCTGCAGATTCGAGGCTCGTATACGTGTCGCTGGAATGGCATCGTGTGCCTCTCGCTTGGTGTGTGGGGCCAGACCGTCTCAAAGGACAGCTTTGAAGCTACACGACACGCTCAGTTCGTTCGCAAATAGGTAAAGTTTGCTTTCCAATGGACTTAGCTGTGTTGTGCATACGGTCCTATCAGCGCAGCGAGATGCTGCTGCAGAAATGCAGGCTCAAGACACGATCATGGCCATTTCGCTATCCAGCAGTGCGATTAAACTGGATATCCCCCAAGTCCAGAAGCAGTGCCTTCTCATCATATGTTAGAGATATATGTTGATAATGGGCATACCAGGATTCAATATGACTGATGTCTGTACAATAACTCGCTTCAAACCTCGTTTTAAAGTTCAGGTCAGGAGTGCTAGCAAAACTCGAGCACCTAAAATATATGGAAAGACCCTCTTATTCTGTGCTGCGATCAGCTGTGTTCAGATGACAAAAGTTGTCACGACCTTGCGAGAACAAGTTACCAGAACTACGCGTGAAGATTTTGTGCCCACGCTACACGCCGTTTCCTTGAAAGGCTGGTCTGGGCAAGGCGGCCGATCGTGCGCTCCAGCACGTCCCCCGCACTTACCCGGGTCGACCTTGTTGAAAACAAACGCCTCGTTGAATTGCGGCGCCTCGCCGGGCTGCATTCTGCTCCGTAATCTCTGTTTCTTGCCAGGTAGCAACACAAGGCGGACCTGAGACAGACGGCGTCATGTCAGTAACCTTGCTCTGGGTGTTTCAGCCATCACCTGGCCTGATCTCTGTGATAACGTGATTTGTTGGTCGCGGATAATTTCATCTGTCAGCCGTTTTAAGTGGGCAGAAACATGTCTTAAGAAAGCAAAGCGGTCCAAACACAAACACAGTTTTCATCTCAAACCCAATGTTTGTGTTTATTCAGTGTTCGTAAATGTACATCTGGGTTGCATGGGTAAGTTGACTATTTGCCCTTATTCCTTCACCATTTATAAAGAGTGGCAATGTATTTATCTTGACATTCGGAACACAACCAAAAAAAACCACTCCTGAGATGGGTCTGGTGCCTTGAAAAACCTGAAAATTACTGGAAATGTGACAAAATGTTTACTTGAACTGAAAAAATCCTATCCTGAATTATGTGTTTTTACATCAACTGAGCTTAAACGTTCTCAGGCCTGCTGAGCACCCACCAAATGCGTTTTGAAATTATTTTTGTTGCCAGTATGTCCCTGACAGGTGACTCGAATGGAGCCGACATGATACCAGGTGCCCACATGAGGTAACAGTACTTTGCATTCGAGGTGAATTAATCCTCAAGCATTTATGGCCACCCCATAATTGAGATGCCAAACAATTTGCTCGTACCTTGTTTAATTTAGCAGGAAAGAGTCAAGCAAGTAGAAATAAGATAATTTCTGTACGCACGCTTCATACTCCACGCTTCATTTTCAGGATCTTGTGTCTCAAATAGGCAGTGCAGACGAACAGACTCTGCATGGCACTACCGACCTGCTCTGCTCAATGTCCATTTATTTTCGCCTATTTCCCACTAGCCCACGCCCGACTAGCCCATGTCTCTGTATCAGTCGCATCACGTACCGCCTTTGATTGGCCTTTGTTTACGTTAAATCGCCCTGGTAGGATAGCATTCAGGGCCGCTGGCTGCGCTTCGCGTTCCTTTGGTCGGAACGGCCGACACGGAAAACACAGGGTCCCGAGGAAACTGGCAGAGATTGGCTTCGACCTCGTCCCGCCTCCAGGGGGCTTTGGTTCTAACTTGAAGCCCACGGCAGGGAGAAAATTGCATCAGCGAAAACAAGGAGTAGAAGTGTCAGAAGAACGGGGGCCTGCGATCACATGCACCAGGTGATCCGCCAGGTGGCGTGGTCAGCTTTAAAAAAAAGGCAGCGGGCTTAAACTTCAGAAATTTGAGTCGGCCTTCTTAAAACTCATTAATGGCTGACAGTGGAGTAGAGCCTTCTCGCGAGCGCTTCAATGCGGTGATGACGAAAACCCGATTGGCACTGACCTGACGTGAGTTTCGCGAAACCTCGAAAAAGCGTCACTGCAGAACCCGGATAGTTTCCGTTGCCGTGCTCACCTTGACGTTGCGAGTGTACTCTTTAACGTTGCAGACATTCCGAGCATTTTCTGTTTACCTGAGCATTGCAAGGGTGCCAAAACACCCCCCAAGTACCTAGACATTTCCAACATAGCTGAGCACTGTCCACCTACCTGAATATTCTCAACGTACCCGGGTATACGCGGAAGCGTCTGAGCATGTCAGATAGACCTGTGCGCGATCGTAACTGACAGACCGTGACTGACAGACTGTAACTGACAGACGGCAATCGACAGACCGTGACTGACAGACCAGTGCGCGACCGTGACTAACAGACCTGTGAGCGACCGTGACTGACAGACCTGTGAGCGGCCGTGACTGACAGACCTGTGAGCGGCCGTGACTGACAGACCAGTGCGCGACCGCGACTGACAGACCGTGACTGACAGACTGTAACTGACAGACTGTAATCGACAGACCGTGGCTGACAGACCTGTGCGCGACCGTGACTGACAGACTGTGACTGACAGACCTGTGCGCGACCGTGACTGACAGATCGTGACTGACAGACCGTGACTGATAGACCTGTGCGCGACCGTGACTGACAGACCTATGAGCGGCCGTAACTGTCAGACCGTGACTGACAGACCTTCATGCCTGCGACTCGCCGGCCTACCTGTGTGTTGCTGGCCCCGCCGCGGTCACGGCTCGGGACGCCCTTGGCCTGCAGGACCTGTATGGACAGCTTCCGGCTGGGGGAGTCGTAGGCGCAGGCCACCTCCAGCGAGCCGCAGCGGGAGAGACTCGCATCGGCGCTGACGTCACCGAAGTCGAACAGGTGCTCCTGAGAGCGGCACCGCACAGTCATGAGAGTCAGGAGGTCATCAGGTCATCAGGGGCATCACGCCACCAAGCCATCAGGTCATCAGGGCAACTAGGTCATGATGCCATCATGCCATCAGGTCACCAGGCCATCGTGCCTCCAGGTCATCAGGTCATGAAGTCGTTAGATCATCACGCCACCAGGTCATCAGGCTGCAGAAGGCGTACGGGCGCACCGCAGAGGGGTGTGATGTGTAGGACTAAGTTGCGCAATCGGATGGTACCAGACGCAGCCGATCCGAGCGCCTGCTAGAGGGTTCTAGAATCTAGTCGCCTGATGCGGATGGGTGTGCAGAAAGGAGCGCAGCAAACGAGCAGCATGCACGATGATACCCATGTTCCATGTGTTCAAAAAGCGATACCACCTGACGTTATTTAAGAAAAGAATCAAGGTGCATAAAATACATCAAATATCAAACAGACAGACATCGCGCCACAATCATTGCCATAGCCATCGCGCCACCGGCATCGAACGCCATCGCGTTCTCTTTTAAATTTGAGCTCAGCTTCCACTGCGACCAAACGGTCTTACCGTGAACACACCAAAACGACCTTGACTCAACCAGACCAACTGACTAAACCCGGCCCCTGATAACATAACCTGATCTGCCACGATCCAAGGTGACCTGATCTGACTGGTTATGACTCGACCTCACTTCGTCTCGCCCGTTCACGGTCGCACGCAACAAAGCGTAGTCATTTGACCGCCGGTCAACCAAACGCGGCGATCGCACACAGCATCAGAATGTTCAGGCAAACACTCGGTCAACCCGGGCTCATTATTTTCCAGATATACTTCAGCGTAGCGCTAATTCCAGCAACACATCTGCCAAGAAATTTGCATAACGATGCACAGGCGCGCGTACAATGTAGCGCGGCACATTACACACAACAACAGCATGATTGGGTTAGGTCCGAGGCACATAACAAGCCCGGAACAGACAGCCGGCCGGTCGGCGGCGATTGATGACTGCCGACGATCAGCGGTGCGTGCGCTGTCTCGCCCGTGTCGAGCCGGCGGGCGTCG